TTCTTGCTTTACGGCGGATCGCAGACTTATAAGTGCATTACCGCCACCTATCTCTCAAATGGACCATTGACACTCCTAATTGAGATTGTAGATAGTCAATGGTCCATTTGAGAGATAGGTCCTATTTATTCAAACCAGCTGAATCAATAAGCAGTGCAGGACTATAGAAAACAAAAACAAAAAAAACAATAGGAACCATCACAGAAATTCTAATGGTTTCCACTTCAAGTACCTTTACAAACCATCAACTATTATCCATTAAAACCATTAAGAAATGGATTCCTGTAGTGTGTTTTGGGCCATTTTCCATTAGGATTTAGAGGTTTTAACAATCCACCAATAAAAGGCAACCAATTACCAGCAGAGACCATTACAATTCCCATCATAACCAGTAAAACCATTACAAATTCTGTGATGCTTTCTATTGTTTTTTTTTCCAGCAAGGAAAAATATTAAACAAAACGTAAATGGTTCATTTTAAATAATTTACAAGAAATAAACTTTTATATATATATATATGTAAGCATATATATGTGTGTGTGTGTGTATATATATATATATATATATATATATATACAGTCAATTTTTCTCAGAAAACTGTAAATTTTACACAACTGTAATTTAAAACAAAACTTTGTTTTTATTATTTTCAAATCATTTGCAATACATATTACACAAAACTAGAGGGTGGTTGAAAGTTTCAGGCTTTCATAAAAACGTGTGTTTTCCATAAAAGCGTCTCTTGCTGAACCTGACGACTAGCACAAAACACACGAGAGCATGTTGTTTCCTTTCATCCCATCCATCCACAACCACACCTCAATACAGAAACGTAAAAAACAGCATCAATGGGGAAGTTACCAACCACAGATAGTGTTTCAGCAGGAGAAAATATCTAGAATAAGTGCCTCCTCGGACAGTTTATGAACACATACAGACTGTACAGACACCAATGATCAATTAATAACTGAATAAGAAATTGAAATCATGTTTTCCACACCTTCATATCTGCTGATGACCACAAAAAACGTATGCAAACCAAAGCACGCATATCTGAGGTGTTCATTTCGGCCGTCTGTTGGGCTGGATGAGTGAACATTATAAATGTTCAGTGAATATAAAGACTGAAGTCCCGCTGTGATGAGAGGCGTCAGGCTGCTGGAGTATCAGGACGTCTGACATCAAGAGCAAAACACTTCACTGTCATCAATGGAGCTTCTCCAGTTTGGTCTGAAGGCATTTAAAGTTGTGTATAATGTCCTGCAGGGCCACGTTTGGACTCAAGGACTGCAGCTCCACCAGATAACCGCAGATGTTATCCAGACAAGCGTTAGTAAACCTCCGTCTGCAATCAACGGCAGAAATGTGAATGTGAAAAATAATGTATAAAAGATGTGGCAGGCATGACGGTTACCTGTCATAGGTGGGCACACGGCTGGGATCATTCACATATCCTGACAGAAGCACATGGATGCACTCCACCAGGTGCAGCGGCTTCTTCACGCGCTGCCAACACGGGTCCTGAGAGAAACAGAAGCTATTATTATCAACATTTCAGTATTTTTGGGTTTGTGTACGCCGGACACTGCTTACACTTCAGAATCTCGACTGTCAAGTTAGACGACAAACCTTTTAACTTTTAGATACAGCAATAATAATAATAAATGAAAAACAATAAAATACAAATATAAATTAATATGAAATTTAGAAAAATAAGTAGTAAATAAAAACTAAAAACAACCACTGTTAAGCAAGAGTAATTACATAATTAAATTTTATATCATTATAAAACATAAGGAATATATAACTTCTGTTAAGCAATTCTTAAGCGTATTATGGACTAATAAATAAAAAAAGAATTAAATAATCATAAGATAAGAAATGTAATAATTATAAATGAATAAATATGAAATTTAGAAAAATAAAAAAGTAAATAAAAATATAACTGTTTAGTTATCCTTATGATGATTATGATTAATAAATACAAATGAATAAATATTAAATACTTCAAAAAAATAATACTTAAGAGTATTATAAATCAATAAATAAAATAAACAACGAAAAAGTTAAATAATAATAATAAATACAAAAAAAAAAAGAAAATTGTATTACGGGTTAAAAAATTCAAAATGTATTAAATTAATAACAAATACGAATTCTTAATTTTTTTTAAATAAGCAAATAAATGTATAATTACAAAATTCAATTAATAATTTTAAAATATATAAGTAAATAAATATATAACTACCATTAATCAGTCCTTAAGAGGATAATGGACTAATAAATACATTTTAAAAAATGTAAAAAAAAAAGTATATATATATATATATATACACACACATACATGCATACATACACAGTATATATATATATATATATATACAGTGGGTACGGAAAGTATTCAGACCCCCTTCAATTTTTCACTACATAACTTCCATTAATCAATCCTTAAGAGGATAATGGACTAATAAATACAAAAATACAATGAATTAAAAAAATATATAAGTAAATAAATACATAACTACCATTAATCAATCCTTAAGAGGATTCTGAGATGATAAAATGCAGAAAGTGAAATGTGATATTCAGCCTGTGGGCTTGTAGTTTATAATAAAAGCTCCACATCTAAACAATGCAGTAGTTTCTCGAACCCGTGTCTTGAAGAGCTGGTCGTAAACCTCCAGCAGTCGTGGAAGCTGAACTCCAATCTCCTGCATGGTGAAGGTGACGAAGCCCACGTCCCAGTTCAATCGGCACACCTCCTGTTCCAGAAACTTGACCAGGAAGTCTGAAGATCACACAAAACAGCACGAGATCAGATCGGGGTTTACATTTACACGGAGCGGCTTACAAAAGAGGAACAAGAGCAGTTAGTCGAGGATCAAAATCACCTGACAGGCCACAGGGACACAAGCACACAGTTCAGAGTAGGGTTGGGTTTCGTTTGAATTTGATCAATTCGGATTCCGATTCTTTTCGATTCCAATGTGATTAAATAATGATATCAAACATTTATCCTGTGTCTCTTTTTTGCAAACCATTTATTGGAGCTGAATACCATGAACAAAAACCAACAGGCTACATAAAAACTGGACTCTTTAAGAGCTGTTTGTGTGCAAAATAGAACGGCATGATTCTGGATACATTTTTTAAATGTTTTTTATTATTTTTTTTTTTATCCCAATGGAAGTTGTGGGTCTCTCATGATTCTGAAGAAAAAACATTAAGACAGCTAAACAAAATCACATGTCATTTATGAATGAATGATTCAATGACTCACTCAAGATGTACTTGATTCATTACTGGATGAATCAGCGTTCTTGAACGAATCTCTTGTGTGATTCACAGACAAATACCGCCACCTACTGGCGTAACAATGTAAACGATAAATCTTAATTTGAAGTGTCAAATTACTTTCAAAAGGTGATTTACTCTATTTTAATCGCTACC